TTTCTTTGATGATTAGATATGATTTAACAGTGTTAACGGCTACCTTGATTCTGTCTCTTATACAGTACATACATGATCTTTGATAGTTAATAACCAATTATTTAATATCTTGATATCTTTCCTGTCCTTGCAGGCATTCTTAAGGGAGATACTGTTGCAGTTTATGCAGACTTGGATGACAAATGTCGACGTGGGTCTACCAAGCTTTACCAAGGGGCAAAAGTTTTCATTGGTAATGGTACTGCACTTATGAGCCGAGCTGATGTGTTTGTAGAGGCCAAAAGGTAGGTATCAGTGGTCTATCTTCATGAGGAAACAACCAGCATCCTAGGCAGGTTCCAGCTGGCCCAGATCCCCTAACTTAATAATTCAAATATAAGAACGCCATTTCCGATCATCTAGATGTACCCATAGACAACATTTCCCACCTTTGCCCCAACTTTTGTTGAGACCCTCAGATTGTGTAAAATCCCCTCCCCCACCTGGCTCCCTCTATTTTAAATTCCAGGATCCGTCACTGAGTAGAAGTTGTATGAGAGCAGCATTGGTCAGTTTTCTATACTTGTGGTAGTCACTATCTGCAGTTTCCATTTTAGATGTTTGCTAATTGTATCGCAATGGAAACCTTTATTGTGTGTTACTTTTCATATTTCGCAGTGGTACTGCAATACAGATGTCGGAAGCTATACATGATTGTCCATCATTAAATGGTGTTTTACCAAAACACATGTTCCTTCAAAACCTACCTTCTGTTGTAGTCAGCCATGTTTTGAATCCACAACCAGGGGACACAGTTCTAGATATGTGTGCTGCACCAGGTTAGATTTTATTCTTTCTTTGTTTTCTCAATTTTAAGTTGAAAACAGCACAGAAAAGTATAATGATTTCACAGCGTGAACAGAAACAAACAAAATCAAGATGATCATTACAAAAAAGAGACAGTGAAATTGTGTAAAATTTATGATGTCCACATTATGCTAAATATTCAGCCTAGCCGCAATTAGTTGTGGGGGGTGGGGAGGTGTTGGGCTTGTTCGAATCACTGCAAAATAGAACATGGGCCACTGAGAACAACTGGCATATGTTGCCTCAAAATGCATCACACACAGTTGCCTCTCAACTGATGTTAGTTGAATGGAGTTGATTTGCAAGGTCAGCATAAGCTTTACACAATACTTCCGCATTATCTCCATGCTACAATACTGTAACATACACAGACATAATTTGCATTCTTTTATTTATGTTCAGGGGGTAAGACTGTCCATATAGCGACTTTGATGAAAGATAATGGTGTAGTATATGCTTTGGAGAAGTCTTCGAGGAAAATAAGCAAGATCAAAGATAATGTGGACCGATTCGGTTTGACTTGTGTCAAGATATTTGCTTTTGATAGCACCAGGGCTTGTGGTGACAATTGTGGTCCTGAAGCTGGTGAGTGTTTGAGAATGACTGTGTCGCCCTGTGGCGTGAATATTATTAAAAGGCACAGGCTTGATTGATCATGTACAAGGTGTTCTGTTTATTTATAAATATCTTTTTGATAGAACCACAACACGTAACACTGAGTGTAAAATATGAGGTAGGACTTAAAACTTTGCATTACTGCCGGTTGTAGCCATCTCACGCGCCTCAGCTGTCGCTCTGTGACAAGTTCTTCGTCTTCCATTTTGGACGGCCTATTTCATTTTTCTGGCTAAACCCCTGCGTAAAATTGACAGCTAAACTGTTTGTAGACTATAACAAAATTCATTTTTATTCTTCAATTAAATATTTTTGCCAATGATTGAAACTTGTTATATGTTGCAGGCCATGATAAGCCGCCATTTCCTCCTGGATCTTTTGATCGAATCCTTCTTGATACACCTTGCAGTGCTTTAGGTCAGCGACCAATACTACATAGCAAATTCACCCTTCAAGAACTCAAGTCTTATCCAACTTATCAGCGTAAACTATTCAGCGTGGTAAGTTGTCTTTCATATTGTTACAGCAGAAATTTAATGTTTTTCAAAATGGTATACAAAAAGTGAATGTTTATGATGCAATGCGAATTATATATTTGTGAGTTTAAAGAAGATGGCTGTTCTCCAACCCCTACCTTTATGAGGCAGTGCTCAGTTAATGGAACACTAAATTTTTCAATGAATAAAATTATTGTTTTACAATACACATAAAATTAATTTAGATCTTCCTTTCTTCAAAATTTGGTATCAACAATTCAGCTCCATGAAATTAAATCCCATTTAATATTTACTCTGTATAAGTTAAAATGTTTTTGTTTTAATATTAATTATTATTATTATTATTATTATTTTATTATTGTTATATATGTGTGTGTGT